TTTAAAATAAAAATACTTCAATTTTATCAAAAATAGTTAGAAAAAGTTGAAAATGAAACAAATATTTAGGGTTGAATGAAATGTTTTGATCAACCTAAATGATTTTTTCCCCAGTTTGCTGAAAAAATTCATTTCTGAAGGACCCAAACAATTTTTCCCCAATTTTCCAGATTGGCTAGTGAACCAAAAAATCTATTCTCCACACAGCTCAAATCTTTAGGTGTTTGCCAACTTGGCATCAGAGTATCAATTTTCATGTAATTTATTTTATAGCCAGAAAATCAGCCATATTCCTTCATTGTTTTAACTACCTTTGAGATTAGTTGTGAAAGGTACATACAATAAAAATAGTATCCACATGGAGGGAAATTTCATTTAAGATAGTCCCTACTTTTATTCCTTTATATTTTTCATTTTCTGCCAGAGTTGCCATTAAAATGGCAAACTAGGAAAGTGAAAGGCCTGCCATACCCACCTCTCTTTACTATAAGTATTTCAATTATATTTATTTTCCAGTTCTTTTTCAACTATAGGTATTTCATTAGCAATAAGTGATGTGGAAAGCAAGTAGAAATTGTAAGAAACAGAGCTTTATTAAAAATGCTAGAAAGTCAGTATTACTGGGCGAGGGTCTGCTGTTTGTCTCACAGTTCCCACTGAATTTCCCATTCCAAAAATAGAAGTAAAACTTCTGTGTGGTAACTTTGGCAAATGCTGACTTTTAATGGTGAGCACTCTATCATATCTTCAGATACTGACCAGAGGTGCCGATTTTGTGATTTCCCCGAAGGTTCTGGACCCCCTCTCCGCCCCAGACCCTGCCCCAACTCCACCCCTTTCCCCAAGCCCACACCCCCGCACTGCCTCTTCCCACCCCAGCTCCTCCTCTTCCCACTGCCTCTTCCTGTCCCTGCTCCTCCCCCACCCCCAACCCCCATCTCCTGCACACCAATGAACAGCTGATCAAGGGTGGGCAGGAGGTACTGGGGGGGGGGAGGGAGAGGAGCTGATTGGTGGGGCTCAGCCGGCAGGTGTGAGTCACTGTGGGGAGTGGGAGGAGCTGATCAGCAGTGCCTGCCAGTGGGTGCTGAGCACCCACTATTTTTCTTGCATGGTGCTGTAACCCCAGAGCACCCACAGAGTCGGTGACTATGATACTGACAACGGATTGAACTCCATAATCAGATTGTCATGTACAATATCCACTGACTTCCATTTAGTCAACACATTCATAATTTACCTTCAGGAAAAATGTATATTAAATATTTGCAAAGATGGCTTGCACGTTTTTGGAAAACATTTAAATATTTTCTCTCTCTCCGTTTTCTGCAGGTTCTCACAGCACTCTGCAGAAACACAATATAATGAATGTGGGTGTTAATCTGTCAGAAGTGAAAAGCTTTTAGATGTAATGTTTAGCAGACAGGTCTGCGCTAATGAAGGTTTCAAAGAAACACAATAAGGGACTGAACAAATTATTTATTCTTATTAAATCTGAGCACCTTTATTGGAATATATCTGTTTCAAACATTCCAATTTGTTTAAATGTTTGAACTTGCCAGAACCAACATAGAATCATGAAATAGTTTTTGTCATTCTCCAAGAAGAAAGTTTAACTGAAAGACCATTTTCTTGTTGACATTTCACCCCAGGCTCATATTATCCTCATTTTAGATAAATACTGCTGTGCACAAAGGAATCTGAACAATTTGTTCATATACGGAATGACTATGTTGACTTTAACTGGGAGCCTGTCACCACCCTGTAACAGAATTGCATGACTGTTTTTGAAAGCTAACAAAGACCATTCCTTTTCAAATACATATTCCAGGCACTCTCGTCAGAAGTACCTGAAAACCACATTTTTGGCAAGAGAAAACATTTCATTTGGCTCATCCTTCTTCTAATCTTATCAAAATTTATATTAGAACAATAAACAGATGACATGTCCATGTTTTGCCAGGTATTTTAATGATTTGCAGGGAGTCCAGGCCCCCCAAAAAGCCCAACTGTGATTAATGCGCTAGCAAGATCCTAACATTCTGGCAAAATATGTACCCTGCTAAAAGGGCATAAGGTACAGTTTTCCAACTGTGAACTGCAACCTTGCCAAAAGGAATTCAATTGTTTAAAATACTAACTCTGTGCCAAATAATGCCCTCACTTTCATATGTGTATCTCCACGACTCCATACAAGGTTGAAGAGTTGTAAATTTGGGCAAAATATGGCTTTCTGAAAACAAACCCATCTCTTTTTCTCTCATGTTATCAAGTCTAAATTAGTTACATAATAATAACACCAAATGAATGGGTTGGTGGCTGAATCCAAACCATGGGCCTGATATTGCAAGGTGTTGAGCGCCCTTAAGTCCTTGTAACCTCATTAATTGAAATATAATCGACTGCAAAGAGAGAAGGGCACTGAGTCCCTCTCAGGACTTGGTTCTTAATCCCTGGATAGGTGTTTTTTATTCCTTTAGAGGGGCCAGTTTCTCTGCATCATTTGCCCCTAAGAATCCCCTTCCCCTCTTTGAGAAAGTGTTGAGTAGTGGTTGGCAGACCCTGATAACGTTCTCAGAACAAAAATCCCGCAGCAATTAGAAGTTCTAAAAGATTTTATTTAAATTTGCTAAGTGTGCAGTAGGCAGCTCTGAGCAGAAGGCCAACTTTGAGGGCATACATGGGACTTAAATGATACACAAGGTTTACATGAGCCCCCTGAACAAGGATCAAACTTACCCACAGTGGATAAACTGGATAGGTAGTACAATATCACAGTGATGAGTGCGGCATCAGAACCCAAATAGAATAGAACCTTGGATTTGTAGCTGGCAGCTTTCTAAATTCTAGGCCTAGCTCTGTCACTGGCTCATTATATGGCCTTTGGCAAATCACTTGTAAGTCTCAGGTTATGTCTTCACTGCATAGTTAACTTGAGTTATCCTAGCTCAAGTGAGAGCAGCCATACTGTGAATTAACTATTGAAACTAAAGGAACTAAAGAGCAGCTCTGTGGGTACTCTAAATTATGTTGGGGTTTGAATTGATCTCATCAGCATGGAATTCTCTATTTAAAGTTGTGCACATCTCTAAGAAAGAAATAATTGCTCCTCATGCACTTTCCACAAAGCTAAGAACAGCTTTTAAAAACTGAAATCAAAATTGAAAAGGAACAAGAGTGTTTCACCTCACTCACCCATGGGTAAGCAAAAATGTGTAGTGTCAACCACTATACATATTCTGACCTTCATATCCACCCATCCTATTAGATGCATAATTTCCACTTGGCACAATAAAAACAGTTATTTTTGTAAATGTGTTCTTGTCTAAAGGAGATCAGAAATGAAATTGGTTTTTATTGTAGTTAAGTCTTTTTCATGCATGCCTCCTCACCACTGTGAGTGTGACCTTTCAGTATAAGGTTTTCTTTTTCTAACCTTGAGTCAATCTCACCTAACTATAATAAACCTTAATATTTCCCTTTTAAAAATCACTACTTTAAGAACTTTAGAATTCAGCTACAATCATTCCGGCTATACATAGTCCTTTGCTCAAAAACATAATTTAGATTAGAACATTTTGGAAAAAGAAGACACACACATACTTTTTCACTGTTTACATTCAGTCTGCCCAAGAAGTTCTGCAATGAGTTTGACAGCTGTCTTCATCTTTTACATGGAGCCGCTGCTTGCAGTGAATACAGTCCCTAGCACGCTATCCTCAATCTTGCTTCAAATATTTAAGCTTAATGGGTCAGAACAAGATGGAATTTTGTATGCTGGGATAGGTGAGAGCTGCATATTAATGAGGACTGATACAATCTAATTTATTCAAATAGCTTTTAGGATCCAAGTGTGTTGCTGATCTGGGCCCTGGTTCAGCAAGTTATTTAAGCATGTGCGTAACTAAATACATGAGTCTAAATACATTGTCTGGCTCCGAATCAGTTTGAGCACTCTTGATTTAGGCTTTCTCAAATTTTTCAGACCCCCAAAAAGTGAATAACTTCTGAAGATTGTGTGATTTTATCTAAATACTTTGATTTCAGATTTGTAATTTATGGAGATACATGCCTATTATAGAGTGATGGTCATTAAAAGCATTACACTTTTGCCTTTTAGTCTGATGACTTCACCACAGTATTCATGACATTCTCTAACCTTATGTACTGTGATTACTTTTAGAATACAATTGCAAAGACTTCAGTGGGGAAATCACTGTATGGTCTACTGACTGCTTTTAGTATTTTGAGAACTAGAATAAGTTTGACTACTCTGCATTGTGTAGTTGCTTTTTCAGTAATGTTTCAGAAAAATGTGTAACAATGAAAGTCAATATCACAAATATGATGACACATTGGGCTAAATAGTCAAAACATCACGTTTTCAACACATGCTTTCAATTTGTGTGTCTTCCAAAGTAGCACACAGGAATACAGATATTTAAAACAAGGTATGTTGGATAATTATGTGAACAATGCTCACCCTCCCCCCAAAGCATGGCATTTCCAATCATATCTTTCATGTCATTTTTAAGGGTGAAAAATGGATTGCTCTATCCTGACATTTTTGCCATTTTGAGATTGAGGCAGTTATCTTCTGAATATGGTTCATTCTATAGCTCCCAGAAGATTATTTTCATGTCTTTTGAATAACATTCTTGGCACAGTCTTGCAGCTCTATGTCAAAGGAAACAATATAAAGATTTATTCTCTTGGGATTATTATTTGAGTTGATGGTGTCTGTGTTCAATGCTTAAGAAAGTTATAAATGATGTGATTTCTGCCATTACAAACACTCTTTGGCTTCTGTGTGTTCAGCTTGTCAAATTTTCCCGAGAGATCAAATGTGTTCTGTTTGTCATACTTTTTTTGAAAACTTACAATGACCATGGATGAATAGTTATTCTGGCCTCGTTCCTCTCTTTGGACTTAACTAGAATCCTTGTTTCTTTGCTGAGTTTAATTGTCATTTGTGAAGGCTCAGTATTCGTTCACTTCAGAAGAAATTCATTTTTTAAAAAATTTCTTCTCTATAACTAACCTTCTCTGTCCCTTCAGCTAGCCTGCCAGCAGGCCTCCCTTCCTGCAAGATCTCCAACTCTCCTTACATTACTGGGCCCAGATGAGTTTCTGCTGTGGATTCATTCTGATTCATTTCTCATGAACTCTGGTGCTTCATATGCCTCTGACTGAAATGTGTGCCACAGCGCATAAGAACTATATGTACATTGTTCAAGGCCCAGAAAAAATTTTATTTGTGTCATAGTAGCACAAAAGAGCTATTGAGAACATTTCATTGTGCTAGGCACTGTACAAAAATAGACAGAGCTGTTGGAAGCCCAGAGGCAGGAAATGATTAAATAGGACAGTTGTACTGCTACTGATCAAAGAAACTGAATCAAACATTTTGGTGAGTTCAGAAAGTTCACTTAACATTTTCTGCTCTTACTTGCATACCACAGAATCATAGAATATCAGGGTTGGAAGGGACCTCAGGAGGTCATCTAGTCCAACCCCCTGCTCAAAGCAGGACCAATCCCCAACTAAATCATCCCAGCCAGGGCTTTGTCATGCCTGACCTTAAAGACCTTAAAGCCACTTCTTTAACTTACTGGCAAGAATACTGTGGGAGACCATGTCAAAAGCTTTGCTAAAGTCAAGGAACAACACGTCCACTGCTTTCCCCTCATCCACAGAGCCAGTTATCTCATCATAGAAGGCAATTAGATTAGTCAGGCATGACTTGCCCTTGGTGAAGCCATGCTGACTGTTCCTGATCACTTTCCTCTCCTCTAAGTGCTTCAGAATTGATTCCTTGAGGACCTGCTCCATGATTTTTCCAGGGACTGAGGTGAGGCTGACTGGCCTGTAGTTCCCAGGATCCTCCTTCTTCCCTTTTTTAAAGATGGGCACTACATTAGCCTTTTTCCAGTCGTCCGGGACCTCCCCCGATCGCCATGAGTTTTCAAAGATAATGGCCAATGGCTCTGCAATCACATTCGCCAACTCCTTTAGCATTCTTGGATTCAACGCATCCGGCCCCATGGACTTGTGCTCGTCCAGCTTTTCTAAATAGTCCCGAACCACTTCTTTCTTCACAGAGGGCTGGTCACTTCTGTCCTGTGGAAGAAAGACAAACATGGCACATCCAGTGCAGGTCACAGCAGCTGAACGCTCCCCATCCATATTACCTTCCTTCTACGAGCTTCCTCAGGAGTTGTAGTAACTACTCAGAGAAGCCGGCAAGATGTAAGCCTCAGTGGGCTGTCCCCAGGCAAACTCCCTCTGTTAGCCTCTCTGCTGTTCGCTGCTCAGCTGGTTCACAGCTGAGTGGCTTTTTATAACAGTCAGGCCCACTCAAGGCTCATCTGGAACAAAGCACTCCCAATTCACACTTTTCAAACAAACAACCAATCAAGCACATGGTCAAACTGTCAAACTGTCCCCACAACAGACATTCAGCTGTAGCTCACGAAAGCTTATGCTCAAATAAATTTGTTAGTCTCTAAGGTGCCACAAGCCCTCCTTTTCTTTTTGTGAATATAGACTAACATGGCTGCTAAGCTGTCTGAAACCTGTCACCAACACAGCCTCCCTAATTCAGCCCTTAGCATACCTCCTCTCAGACAGATCCCAGGCAAACTCCCTCTGTTAGCCTCTCTGCTGTTCACTGCTTCTGCACCTCTTGCTCTCAGCAAAGATCAGAAGCAAGGGTACCCACCACCGCCACAAATACACACTCATTTTGCAGGTCCTCTTTAGTTAAAAAAGGCATCTTGATGTTAAAATTTGAACTTCATATTCAGTTAAGTACCAATGGCACAGTTAAAAAGAAAAGTCACAGCTTAGCAAAAATTTGTGCAGAATGAAGAGAAAAATGGGAACCCTGCAGTTCAATATTAACCTCCATAAGCAGCATGAGACATATAAGGCTAAGGTATGGGAAACCTGTGGTGCTCCACAGCTCTGCAGGGTGGGGACAACCAGGGACTTGATGAAGTTACTGTTTCTAAGGTGATGTTTATCAGTTAATTTGTACAGGTAACTTAGAGGTGACAAGCTCCATATCCCAAAAATCAGGCCTCAGCCATCCAATCTTCCTTACCTGTGATATATTTGAAGATCTAACTCCTTATATCCATCTACATGACTGACAGACGCAGCACACATATGAGCTTAACCAGCTGACGCTACTAGGCGATACATATGTTTGCTTTTAAAATGATCATTTATCTAAGAAGCTGATATTCAGATTTCACAAACATATAAGATGCATTCCAAAACTATACCTAATGATCTTTTTACTCCAGAGAGGAGAAATTTTAGTCTCTCTGGTAAATAATACTTTAATAGGTTGCCCAAATTACTGTATGTATTTAGCAGAGAAGTTGGAATGACTCCAAACCCACAATTCTTGTCTTTGGTATATATAATATACTATACATTTTCCAGCTGTCCATGATGGGTTTGGGGGAAAGAAATCACACACACACAAAAAATCACCGAGAGTCTGAATTAAACAACTAACATCAAGAGCTAACATTTAGAATGCTGTATGTTCCAGACTGCTTGCCAAATGAATGGTAAACTGGGACATATATATGTACATGCACAGACATTGAGTATGTATAGCCTCCTAAGTGCTAAGGTTGATACTATGAACTAACGATCTGACACTCACACCTGTTGTCCTTTAACACTGCTATGCATGCAAGATGTAAAATTATGTAGTATTGCAAAACTCCAAGCACTGAGGACATTGTGTCTCAAATAAGAAATCAGGCTGAAGCAAAAATTGTATTCTTATTAGCATCTTAGACACAATTCCACCATTGATCCCCACAAGCTTTGGGCAGAGGATTTACAATAGCCTTAAGAAGTCCACTGTCAACAATTGCCTTGTCTTAATTATACAACCCAAAATCCCTCACCATACTCCTGGTGATGAGGTACTCTGTGGGTTATTATAGCCTGCAATACCAAGGCAGGAGGTAAAGATTAATAGTTAGCCTGGATCATAGAATCATAGAATATCAGGGTTGAAAGGGACCTCAGGAGGTCATCTAGTCCAACCCCCTGCTCAAAGCAGGACCAATCCCCAATTAAACCATCCCAGCCAGGGCTTTGTCAAGCCTGACCTTAAAAACTTCTAAGGAAGGAGATTCTACCACCTCCCTAGGTAACGCATTCCAGTGTTTCACCACCCTCCTAGTGAAAAAGGTTTTCCTAATATCCAACCTAAACCTCCCCACTGCAACTTGGATTATCTATGATAACTCTGACTTGTCTCACTATATCTCTTAGTCTGACCATCATTATCCATTTGTATTTAACTGCTAAGACTAGCTGGAAATATGCACATTTTGTATCATGTATTACAATGAACTTGTTTTCAGAAACCAATATGTTCAGCTGACATCATCTTGGAGGAAGGCAAGGATCTGAAAGCCTGAAGAAACTAGCTCCAGCATCACAAAAACCCAAATTCAGAAGTCCTTACTGAGTTTTTCTTCAATCCTTACTCAGGTAAACTTCTAGTGAAGACAATCAGACCTCACCAGAATGTGGAATGAGGACCTGTCCTTGACTGCATTGTTGGGAGTTATGCCACTTTTGTGACACTGTTGTCATAGAATCATAGAACATCAGGGTTGGAAGGGACCTCAGGAGGTCATCTAGTCCAAGCCCCAGTTCAAAGCAGGGCCAATCCCCAACTAAATCATCCCAGCCAGGGCTTTGTCAAGCCTGACCTAAAAAACCTCTAAGGAAGGAGATCCCACCACCTCCCTAGGTAATGCATTCCAGTGCTTCATCACCCTCCTAGTGAAAAAGTTTTTCCTAATATCCAACCTAAACCTCTCCCACTGCAACTTGAGACCATTACTCCTTATTCTGTCATCTGCTACCACTGAGAACAATCTAGATCCATCATCTTTGGAACCCCCTTTCAGGTAGTTGAAAGCAGCTATCAAATCCCCCCTCATTCTTCTCTTCCGCAGACTAAACAATCCCACTTCCCTCAGCCTCTCCTCATAAGTCATGTGTTCCAGACCCTAATCATTTTTGTTGCCCTCTGCTGGACGCTTTCCAATTTTTCCACATCCTTCTTGTAGTGTGGGGCCCAAAACTGGACACAGTACTCCAGATGAGGCCTCACCAAATGCCGAATAGAGGGGAACGATCACGTCCCTCCATCTGCTGGTAATACCCCTATTTATACAGCCCAAAATGCTGCTAGCCTTCTTGGCAACAAGGGCACACTGTTGACTCATATCCAGCTTCTCGTCCACTGTAACCCCTAGGTCCTTTGCTGCAGAACTGCTGCCGAGCCATTCGGTCCCTAGTCTGTAGCAGTGCATGGGATTCTTCCATCCTAAGTGCAGGACTCTGCACTTGTCTTTGTTGAAACTCATCAGATTTCTTTTGGCCCAATCCTCGAATTTGTCTAGTTCCCTCTGTATCCTATGCCAACCCTCCAGCGCATCTACCACTCCTCCCAGTTTAGTGTCATCTGCAAACTTGCTGAGGTGCAGTCCACGCGATCCTCCAGATCATTAATGAAGATATTGAACCAAACCAGCCCCAGGACTGATCCTTGGGGCACTCTGCTTGATACCGACTGCCAACTAGACACGGAGCCATTGATCACTACCCGTTGAGCCCGACGATCTAGCCAGCTTTCTATCCACCTTATCGTCCAAGTCCTTGTCCCAGTCCTGGACCCTCTGTTGGGAATTCCATGAATCCAATTACCTTGTGTTTGGATCAGGCAGAATAGGAGGCTGACTATGAAAGGCTGCATGAATACCCCTGGTTAAAACTTTTAAATCAGTGGAAGTTAATTGCAGAAACTTTTGCCCAGAGATCCCCACTGCTGAAGAATCTTTCCTGAAGAAGATTCAGAAATAGGAGTGCTATGGAGCCTGTGGGTTGAAAAGCAGGGTGAGAAAAAGCACAAAGAAACAAGGCCTCTTTACATGTAAGCCCATGATACCACTACATTCTCTAAGATCCATGTGAGTCTTGGGATTCTATGGGATTTAAGGTAAAACCTAGTACATTTAGTAGGGGGAACCCCCTCTTTCCCCTTTGAGGTTATAATTTATGGAGAATTCCAAAATAGAAACTTCGCCAAGTTTCCCTACCATTCTGAAGCAGCTGTCCATGAATTTTTCTACAGGAAAGTGGGGGAAGGGCTATCCCTGCCAAATGACTTCAAAATATTGATTAAAGTATTTTGTAACTGGGAAGCAAATAAGTGAATAGAAGGTGGAGAGGATTAGTATATAATTAATAACCACAAGGTGTATTTGAGCTTGTCTTTGTAACAACAAATCAGAGGGTGAAATTTAATACAGTAGGAAATATAAATTATACTTGTACCTCTTTATAGATCACTCTCTGTAGATATTTGTTGGCATTAATTTGTGATAAATATATTAGGCTCTTAATCTTCCTGAAACATTAGAGACTGAATTCTGTATGCCAATGTAATAATGAATTAGCCAAAAGAAAGTTGTATGTTACCATAACGGTGTCTTTATTTTACAGTTTGATGCTATGGGGCAGATTCTTAGTTCGTACATTGGAGCTTCAGTGGAACTATGTCAATTTATACCAGCTGAGGATTTTCCACATAGATCTCATCTTGCCAGGTGTTGCATGCCTTTTATTCCCACTGAAGTAAACAGGAACAGAGGGCCCTCAAATACTCAGAACCATGCAGGATTGGAACTTAGATTAGTACAACAATACAAAGGATTCTCTTCTCCAGCTGAGGCCAACCTTTGGTTCATATGACTTGTAACATTTACATGTAAACCCTAATGCAAAGTCCATTAAAGTCAATAGTGTCTTTCCATTGAGTTCACTGGGCTTTGGAGCAGAGGCTTACCATGGAGAAGAAGCTCACAGTTCAAGTCTGAAATGGTTGACTAACGTCCTGTATCATTCTTTTGGGTTAAAATTCCTAGATATTTTTACTGCACTATCAAGAGTCTGGACTTAATGTTTCAGTCAGAAATCTGATGGACCTTTTACAGATTATTTAAGTATAAGGGATCTGATTTTGTTTCATTATGTCCTATTATAAAACAATGACCAGTAAACACTGTAAATGCACTAATGATTTGAAATTTTATTACTCACTTTTTTATTTACCCATTTCAAATCATTACAGGGAATACACTCAGTAAATGGGTGAAATGCAAAGATCATTTGCACAAGAGATAGGTGACATTGGCTGAAGCTTGACAAGATCTGCAGCACTCTGATCAGTATGCTGATGTACAACATTTGGAAGTCAATGTGATATTTGGGAGATTCTTCCAACCTTTCAGACCAGGATTTGAGTCAGTACCCTGCATTTAAAAAGGGTGGGAAAATATTTGAAGAAAAGTTGTCACCAATGGAAATGAGGAAAACAAAATACAAAGAATTTCTCTTATTCCTAGGATTGTTCCCAGGCAACCACTAGTATTCATTTCTGCTGGCAGCCACTAAGCACTATGAAAAGTTTCAGTCTGCATAAAACATTAAAATTCTAATGAGCTTTGCAGCGTTTACAAAATTCCAGAAAATTAAGCACAGTGGGGATGAGTTGTCATTAACTGCATGAACAGGATACTACACAGTAGCAAGAATGTCAAATGCTTTCAAGTTACCATATTGTTATGGCAAAGTAGCATGTGGTATTTTCCCATTACTCCATAAATGACACATTATATGTCAGAGCTACTCTAATAACTTATTCTCAAAAGGTTAATACGCTAAACAGATGTCAGGACTGAATGAAATCTTTACTACATAAACAAGTCAGATAGGGAATCAAGTTTTTAGAATGCTCTCCTTTTGATTATAGTGTAATGCGAAATAAAATAAAACGGAAGTAGAGCTGGCTATAGCTGCAAAATTCAGATCCAGATTTGAAATTAATTTTTTTTAAAACCATCCCTATTAAGTTTGAGAGTGTTTGTATTTATTTTCACACGGAAAAGCATTAAAATAAGGATTATTCACAAAGAGTTCTGAGTGAGAATTTGCTATTTCATCTGTGTTGTTTAACAGTGTCAAGCCATATAAGCCACAGGGTATTGATTCTGTTCCCTGACTAGATGAACGCATAAGCTATCCATCACAAAATACTAGAGCCTGCCTATACAGAATTTGATATCAGTGAATACCCCAAGTGTCTTTGAAATGTTTTTTTATGCAAACATGTGCGCTTGTAGAAGTCAATTACATTAGAAAAATGATACCAAATTGGAATGATCATGACAAGAGAAATAATTTTTAAAAATCATGCAAATATCTACAGGATTTTTTGTTTGATTGTTTGTTTGTTAAAACGTATTTGCCAACTCTAATTACAACATTAGAGATGGGCCCCAACCAGCAGAGTTTGCATCTGGGACCAAACTTTGGGGATTTCTTAGATCCCAAGCATTGGTTCGGGTCTAAAGTACAGCTACATATATAGTCACATATAAAAATGTGCAATGTACTTTTCAGATACCTAAAAGTAAGCATAGTCTATATTTAAAATGTACTGGACAGTCCTGGAGACTTTAAAACACCACCTGTTGAATAGGGATGAATTCCACTGAACAACACTAGGTTCTGTTTAATATTGCTGCTATTTTAAGATCAGATTGGTCAGATTTCTTGTTTAAAAAGAGCCCACAACTACAGCTTTTACACTGAATAATACTTACTCATATAAAGTAGTCCCATTGAGCTCATTGAGAAGCAGATAGATCTAGTGGCTGGGGCACTTGATTGGGAATTAGCAGACTTAAGTCCTTGGCTATACTACTGGTGATAGGACCCAGGCTCAGTGTCCTAGGAAGTGCCTTCCAGTCCTACATCCTTAAGTACTACAAAACAAAAGTGTTGAAGAATTGGATCTTTTTAAAAAGAAATTTGCAGAATCTGGCCCCCAAAAAATGAAATGAACAAACAGACAGAACTTGCAATGCCATACTATTAAGGCATAGAAAAACGCCTGCGTACATGACATGCTTATAGTTCAGTGATTTACGTTAAAGTTCTTTTGTGCTGACTGAATTAACGGCATGTGGGTATGACAGACTCCTTTCCTGACAGCTGGATAAGAGAAGTGATTTTTGCTGCCTCAATTAAGATGTCCATTGTTGTGGATAATGTGAACAATTAAATGAAGTTTACATCTAAGCAATAATTTCATCCAAAAGTTACAGCATTGTTACAAAAACACAAGAGAACCAATGTCTAACCACTCAAGTGCAACCCATCCCTCTGGGATGCAAAAGCAACTATTTGTCACAGACACAAATTCACAGCAGCTTCCATTTACTTTGCTATTGGGAATTTTAATGAGTTGAAACTAACACCCCAACTAGGTAACGACTATGAAAATTAGGATGATTCCACAAACAATTACCGGTACCTTGCTGGAAAAAAGTACATTTTTGTGATTTCTGTATTCATTTTTACAAATGTATCATTATAGATAATTATTTCATATACTATAATTAATTTACATGAAAAGTATGCATAAATTTATAGCAGGTCAAGTCCTATGATCACTTCTCAGTTTTAAAGCCAATGGTGTTTGCCTGAGAAAGAACAGAGTAACATTCAAGAACGAACTTCAGGGTTTATCAATCATGCATCTTCCTGTAAACAGTATAAAACAAGTCTAAGGTATTTTTGTACACAACAAAATCATTAGAGCTTTATGTTTGTACCTATAAGTAAATCAAAACCTTTTAATTTCCTTGTATTTCACTTTGAATGTTATTCATAGTAGTTGAGTAATGTATGTGTGAAGCTTTCTCTTTATCATCAACCATCAAAAGTCATTCTCTTTATCATCAACCATAGTTCAGCCAAACTAATATATTAATCTCTTAATCTTTCCTTCATGCTCTATCCCTGCAGTGTTAGTCAATGTGGTTGCTTTTCCCTGATTTCATGCAATTTATCCACCTCCTTGTGGTAGAGAGATACAGAGTTATAGGTGCATTTCTAGTTAGTTTCACCAATTCCATATAGCAGGGGACTTTTATTCCAATGGTACATGTGTATAGAGCCCAAAATTGCATTTCCTCCCTCCCCATCATATCACATGGCAAACTCATATATAATTTGCTGTCCTCTATATCTCTTAAGTCTTTTTCATTATTACTGATTTTCACTTTATTTAAGTGTTTGAATAGTTAGTTTCAAATTTCTCCCTCTACTGAATATCAGGATTTCTGGTCATTCTTCCCTAAACAGTTACTCACAAAGTGATTCCTATTGAAGCCAGGGGAACTCCACACGTGGATAACAATTTGCAGAGTCTTACTAATTTATATATCTTTTTAATGCTCTGCCCACACTTCTAACTAATCCACTTCCTGTTTTATTATTTGACTGTGATTTCACTTCCTAATTTAGTTAGCATTTCAGAATTAAGGTCCTGTTTCAAAAAGATATAAGCCAATGCCTAACTTTAAGCATGGTAGTAGTCTCTCTCACTTTACTGAACTGGGATTTTTATTTATTTTTACCCCCAGATCATTAATAAAGAGGTGAAATAAGATTGCTGTTTGGCCCAATGCCACCCCACAAGACACCTCTCCCAAGCTCAATAAATCATAAGTCATTATCATCTTTTATCTGTGATCAGGTTTCAGTCTATGTGACAGTGCTTATATCTAAAGGAACCTGAATAAATTTTCCAAGTAATAATTTCTCAGGCATTTCTAAGATGTCCATATCTACTGCAAAACATATTCTCTTCCTCCAATAATTTTATAATTAGCTTTAAGAGAGTGATCACATTTGTCTGGCATGATTTGATTTTTCAGACCTATGCTCTTTATTACTTACTGTTTATTTTCTCTAGGTGCTTATGTAACTGGGATAGCAGAGTAAATTAGGCATACTCCTTTTCCTTCCATTTAACACGCTGCTGAAGTACAGGCCAGAGTTCTATCTCTCCAGGATTTTTCAGAAAGCATCTCACAGAGTCAAGCTCAGGGTCATTGTATTAGGCCCTGGAGTTAAGGTTCATAAGTAGCTCTCACACACCTTCAAAGAAAGAATGCCACATCATTGCTTAGTAAACTACAATTTGAGATTTAATGCAAGCAAACAAATGAACCAAGATTTTGAAACAGTCCATAAATCACTTTTACATTTTTGTTAAAAAAACAATATGTATTAGGAAACAAACAATTAGTGTATCTTTCTAGTACAGACTTCCCTTTCAGTGACATACTTCTTGGTGATACTTCTTGGTCTGCAGAAGAGAAGAATAAGGGGGGATTTGATAGCTGCTTTCAACTACCTGAGAGGTGGTTCCAGAGAGGATGGTTCTAGACTATTCTCAGTGGTAGAAGAGGACAGGACAAGGAGTAATGGTCTCAAGTTGCAGTGGGGGAGGTTTAGGTTGGATATTAGGAAAAACTTTTTCACTAGGAGGGTGGTGAAGCACTGGAATGCGTTACCTAGGGAGGTGGTAGAATCTCCTTCCTTAGAAGTTTTTAAGGTCAGGCTTAACAAAGCCCTGGCTGGGATGATTTAATTGGGGATTGGTCCTGCTTTGAGCAGGGGGTTGGACTAGATGACCTCCTGAGGTCCCTTCCAACCCTGATATTCTATGATTCTATGATTGCACCCACCCATGGTTGCTACTTGGACTAAGACTCCTTTTGGTGGTTCACCTGTGTTTCCCCGTCCCCCCCACCATGGACCTGCTTCTACTACTTCATCCTGGGATTCCCCTACATCTCCACACACACCTAGGGTACCTTAACTCCAGGGAAGGTAGATGGAGTGTTTATGGCATGTGCCCGGGATGGTGAGGTAAATGGGTATTTGAGGCAGGAAGGTGCTGGGCAACTCAGGGAATGCTGAAGTTGTTTGTGTGGGCGCATAGGGACTGCTGAGGTCACTGGGAGATGGGCTGCATTGTGGGAGTGATAGAGCTGGGAGGCACTCAGAGCAGACTCTCTTCCCACCTTCTATACTGTACCACTGCCCTGGTCTGCCTCCTGGTTGATTCTCCATGGTGGCTCAGATTCATCAGGGACCAATGAGAGAGAGATGCCGCCTGAAGAGTAGGTGCCACATCACTGCAGTATCTGCTCCCAGCCCACCCATTTTCTGGGACTGCCTGCAGAGTGGAGTGGCTTTCCAGCCAGCCCCAGTAAGAGGGAACAAAGTGGCAATGTTACCTTTTCATTTAGCAAAGGAAAGGGAGTTCCACTTCCCCTTCCTTTTTTCATGCACAGTGCACACTCGTAAGTACCAGGGACAATGAGGATGGATAGGAACATTTGATTTGGCCATATTGTTTAAGAAAGTCAAACTATTCCCAAGGAGTAGAAGAAAAAGCAGATAGACTTCCATACTTTGTTGACCAATGTTACAATGACTAAATGTCATCTGTTGTTCATCCTCTTTTTTCAATCCACAAAAAATTGTAATGAACAACTTGAAATCTCCCAGAGCACCACTTGCGTGAAGATAAAGATGCATTGTATCAGATCCATTTCTAAACCAAATCTAATCCAAAATAAAATTATGAAGAGATTGTATTAGATGTCAGTATATTGTAACCTGTTGGAGATACAGCCATTTACATGCCTTCTTTGATCCAATCACATGATTGTCCATATGGGGACAAGCATCTGCTCCTACATCTCAGAAGTATTATCCCTTCTGAGAAATTCTGCCTCCTCACCCTTGATGAGGATATCTCCATGATATATACACAGCTCTTACCTGTACCAAATTTTGTACTGGAACACTGGAAGTAGCTGGATTGTCCTCCAATGTCAGAATGAAAGTCCAATAGCAGTTGCTCCCTTGGGGCCTGATTCCAAGCCCCTTGAAACCAACAGATGTCTTTCTGTTAAATTCAATTGACTTTATATCCAGTAGTTAATGGGGAAAATAAATAATAATAACAACAAACACCCTCTCAGAGGAAACAGTATCTTGCTTTTCCAGTGTGGTGGGAAGCTTCAAGCCATTTTAACACCATAAAGAAATGGTCATATTTTATTGTAGGGCCCTCATTGAACAGGATAGTAGGGTTGTGACTTGGAAACTCTCTTCCTTTTCCCCTTTCTGAGCCTTGATTCATGTCTCTCTGATTCTTCTTCCTTCTCACTTTTAGTTTCAGTTGGATTGGGAACGCTCTTCTGTGGAGGTTGATTGATTACCTATATCTGGATGCCTCCTAGTAATTAGACTGGCAAAAATGAGATATTTAGTGGACTTTATGGAAAATTTTGCTCTGCTCTGGAGGTAGTATGTCTTGTTTCACTGGTTTGTTTTGGGGGTGGGGGGGTGTTTGTAAATCTCATTCTGTATCCCACGAAATAAGGCTCACATCATCCCAGCTTCATTTTCTGCATCCTAAAATCTCAAGAACTGTGCTTGTAATTGGTTTACAAGTGGTCAGAAATCTTGTGAGGCATGTAATCTTTGTATTATAATGATAAATGTATAAGTCTTATTCCTTTTTGTATTAACACTGATCTCCCATAATGCTCAATAGCTAAGCACAATTATTGTAGCCTACACATTAATGCCTAGGTTTTTGTTTATTTGTTTTTAAGGGACCTCAATTTGACCTGCAATTTTGCATCTACTATTAAAGGTGAAAATACTAGTAGTTTGACATCTAACTACTTAATTTGAGAGTGCAATCAATAATTAAATACCTAATGCTAGTATTTGTACCCACAGCTAATTGTACCACAAACACTGAAGGGCTTTTTTTGGTGGGGAAAGGAGGGGCAGTGTTTTTTTTTTTTAAAAAGCAGTCTGCTTTGAGGACATCCCCATTCTCCACTATGGACAAACAAGTCAGTTCCCCATTATTATTATTTTTGTCACATGCTCTATATATTGTACATCCTTTGTTTGCTTGAGCTGGTAATTCCCCTAAATAAATGACAGAGAGTGGTTGGCACCTTCATTAAAAACTCTGAATTAAAAATCTGGCAAGACTTTGAGTAACTCCTTATCCCTATGTATTATTACAAATAAAACTATTAATTGTTTTTGATGAATATGCCAAATAATTCCTATGGAAGTGACCAACGAACACGTAATTGGGCATAAGGTTTTTCTACATTCTTCCCAAGCTATTTTATCTAAACTGTAACATTAACATTTCTTTTTGTGAAATGTGCTGGATGACATATCACACTGGAACATTACTTGGATTGAGTCAGTGAAACAATATATATCACCAGTTCATATATCATGCATATATAGTGTCCTGGCACTGCTTGACATAACATGTCACATCTCTGATACTTTAAACAAATTTCTTGGCTGTCAGTTAAAAAGGACAGATGGGCACACAACACAAACATCCAGGAACAAAGAAAGCCCTGCAAAGAGATTCTGATCACCTTTTTCAATATCTGATTTCCTTTCCCCAGCCCCACCACTTGAACAGTAAAGGACTGGTTTAGGAAAATATTCATCCAGGCCAAGGGATGCAACTTTCCTGGCTACCTTAACTAATGGGGGAAAAAGCTATTCTAAGATATATACAATAAATAACTAACAGTGCTTAATGGAGAATAACTCAAAACCCTGACATTTTTGGGCAAGATGCAGAAGAATTAGGAGTATAAAATGTATAAAATATGGAAATGAGTTTTATGAGAATTCACCTCTAAATGTAAAGCTCACTGCTTGCAAAAACTGACTTAGAATCACTACAATTTTGAGATTTGGGGGGGGGGGGGGTCTTCATTTTTGCCCAGCTATGAAACAGCTCATTCTTCCTGCTGTTGGGCTTCTCACCTTTTAATACCCCCCCTTGTGGTCAGAGTTAGTGACAGCAGCCTTGCCTCAGCTCCCCTTTGTATCAGTTTAGAAATAGAGCCTGCAGTGTTCAGCCACTGTTACAACTTCAACCCTCTGGCAGGGTCAGTTGAGTCCGTCCCCTCTTGGAGTAGTAGGAGTCTTAGTCCCCAGGGGCCTAAGTGATCTGTGATGGACCTTCAGTCACTAGCCCCTGATATCTCCCTCTCTCTTCTTTGTGTGAAAGGAACAAGGAAGGTTGAATGAGGGACAAAAATAAAGTCCAAAAAGTTGTGTGGGGACTGCCACAAGTCTGAAGTCTCAGCAGTTTCTGCCACCCTTCCTTGTGGAGGATTGTAGGGGGATCCAATCCCACCCTCTCCTCTAAATCCCTGCCCAGGGATCCTCGGATACTGGGCGAGGGTCTGCTGTTTGTCTCACAGTTCCCACTGAATTTCCCATTCCAAAAATAGAAGTAAAACTTCTGTGTGGTAACTTTGGCAAATGCTGACTTTTAATGGTGAGCACTCTATCGTATCTTCAGATACTGACCAGAGGTACCGATTTTGTGATTTCCCCAAAGGTTCTGGACCCCCACTCCGCCCCAGACCCTGCCCCAACTCCACCCCTTTCCTTGTGGAGGATTGTAGAGGGATCCAAGCCCACCCTCTCCTCTAAATCCCTGCCCAGGGATGCTCGGTTAGGCAGTCAAGGACTGTTTGCTTCGGTCACCTGCTACTTCCCTGGACTGTTTCCCACTTATGGCCTTTGCAGGCATCTTCTTCTCATGATCCTTCTCCTAGAGCGTTGGTCTGTTTGGGTGGCTTTCCTCCATCTGATGGTGGGGAGTTTTTCCACAGTGACTCTCAGCCCCTCCAGCAGCTGCCCTGCTCTGTCTGGGTTGTAGCTTTTTATCCCAGTAGTCGCTAACCTGCCATTTAGCTCCAATTTGGAGAGTGATTGCTTTCTTCACTAACTCTTTTCTGCCATGTGGGGTCTATACACCCCATCATGTCCCAGTGTCTACCTTCCAATGTAAAACCCAATGTGACAAAAATCCAGAGTCAAGGAAACAAAAAAATTAGTCATCCAGGAAACTCAATCATGGGAATCATTCCTCTAACGCAAATAACTCTATTACACTGGCATGGTTCTTTATTTCTGATCTAAATAATTTTAAATAATAAGTAAAGGAACACCAAATGTGTAGGAATGTAGGTAACATTGGGACAAACGCAAGTGACATAGCTTGACAGGAGGTATTGCTAAGAGATAATGAAAACATAAGTTTATGGTTATTTTTCAGCAATAATAAGTTGTTGAACAAGATGTCCCCTTTTTGCCTCACTGCTGATGATAGTTTATGGCTGCTAATAGCCTCTATACAGAGAAGTGACCATATCTAATATTTTGAGTTTAAGCTTTGTTGGGCAAGGACTGTGTCTTTGCTCTCTTCTGAGTGGAGGCTAGCTTATATTTGGGCACTATTCAATAATAATTAAAATATTACTATTGATACTGATATTAATTTGATATCCTACATCAGGTGGTCTCTAAGAATACCTCCTTCAGGAGGTGCCAATTCCATAAATGAGGACATTCAAGTTGACAGCACCAATAATTTGAATGGAAGTAGGAGAGGAAAAACATTAGCACTGAATAGGACTTGAATTTTGCTTCCAGAAATTCTTATACAAGAACAAATATAAATGAACAACAAAGTCTAGTGAAACTACAATACAAGAACATATCTTAGTAAAACTGAAGTATTTTCTGAATCTAATAAATGATGGCTTTTTATTGTCAATCACTGAGCACACTACCCAACATGCTATGTCATACACATACCTGAACAGTGATCTGTGTCTGCTTCTCCAGTAAAAAATAAGTGGTTATCCCGTATCCGCTTTTCTCTCAGTGAAGCAGGGGAAGGTAGGGAATAGGAGACAAAAACAAAATTAAATGAAAAAATGAAAGCTAGAAGTAAGGGAATGAAATAAAAGAAACCATATATAAACAGACAGAGGATGAGAGAATTAAAAACAGGATTTAAAAAGAGGGAACAAGTAACTAAATAAAACAAAAAGTGCATGGAATTTAAAAAAAGGGAAGTGCAGGTTAAACTTGGAAAGAGAATTGCAAAAGCACGAAAAGGAAAGTTAACTAAATGGACAGGATAGCGTTAGCATAAACTGCACACTGAGGAAAATACTACTCAACATGCCTACGTGTTGCACCACCAACATCTAAACAATGGAGTGTAATGAAAGATACAGTCAGAAATTTAATATAGGATAAACTTATTTTTAGTCTTTGTTTTTGTTTCATAGGAAATAGCTGCACACCGTTTTACGTGCCATCATTACTTTCTCCTATTATGGTAATTATTTGATTCATTTGGAACTAATCATAACCTTAGTCTCAGTCTGGGTTCTAAAAGTAAGTATCAATAACATCATACCTTTCTCCTGCAACCGAGGAACCTACTAGTTTCTCGTTATACGGGTGGTGGTACCTGACCTACTTTCCCACAAATTTCCAAGATTCCCCCATACACAAAAAATGTTCTTAGGAATATTTAAGTTACTAAAAAAAAAAAGCTCCACAGAAATTATTTCCAAGAAGTGTCCCAGCAACCCTTTTCCAGAGATGATTTGTACATTTGTTTATAAAGTCATTTATTCCAAGCACCAGCATCTATTGGAAAGTTTTTCATACTATTACCAACATTAAAACCACTTGGGATTTTCATTTTAGCACTAATCATGATGCTCACATTCTTCCCCAGGTCAGTATTATATGTACTGCTCTTCGCCACTGCTAGACACAGAATACAAAGAACACATTCTCCATTATAATCTGCCTAAAGTAATAAAAATCCGGATGCATTTACATTCAAATGTTACTATATTGCTTAGTATATGCAGTTTGGGGTCAGGGTCTTTTAGGAAGGGCATAGGAAAAATAAATTTCTAAGATGTTAAAAATCTATAGCTATGGAACTAAATAATTCTTTGGCTTTTTTTAAAAGAAAATAATTGGTGGGCTAGGTTTATTGCAACACAATGAATTAATATGCTAGCCTTACGTAGATAGGCTTAGACTAGGAGTTCAAAATTTGTTTTACTTCTATAGGTTACATCTACAATAAGTTTAAGGAGCAAATTCCACTACACTAGCTGGAAATCTTGAAGTCAATGGGTTTGCAATAGTGCACATGAAAAGAGAATTAGGCCCTAAATATCAACCTTAAGTTAAATCCCACCCCCATTGTAGTCAATGGGAGTTTTGTGATTAATTTCAGTGGGGGCCAGAATTTTTGATTATCCCCAAGACCTATGTTAAGGTTCTCCAAATCAGTATTGGTGCTAGTAATAAAAAAGTGTTCTGAAAATTGCCCCCTCCCACCCACACACTATTTTAAAAGTTACCTTTAAATCATCCATGTTTTCAAAGTTTTCAATATTTTTTCTCTTTCTCCTGCCTTTGTTTGCCACTGGGGGGAAAAAAAGGAAAGGGGGAAAGACAAATACAGAAAAAAGGGAGAGAAAAGGGAAGAAAGAAGAGGAAAATACTCAAACCCTCAATTTTTCCACAGTTTACATTTTCAATAAAAAAACCAAAAAATTCAAATAAATGAAAAAAATCACTCCTTTTCAAAACACGTGGAATAAAAATGAGTTAGAAATGTGTGAAGTTTTTCATAAAAAATCTTGACCTATTTTGATCAGCTGTAGTCAAAAAATAAGCCAGCTGTGTCTAGGTAGAACAAAAAGATCATACAATTTTTACAGCTGTAACCAATATGTTGTGTTAACAATTAGTGCAACCTTTTCAGACTCAGGTTTACAAACTGCTTCCTAAGAGGAAATCTCAGAAGTTTTGGAATATTCGTTTTGATAAAGAAAACAACCAGATATTTGGATTTACCACTGAGAACCTCAATCAGGCCCTGATTATGTCCCTTCACAGGCAACTGTTTTCCCTCCCAATGATAAAGTCATATATCTTGTGGGAATGGAAAAATGGAGATTCTCATATACCCTGGGGTTTTTCGTGAATATAATGTTTAGAGATCTTTGGGACAAGATCTGCAGGTGGAGGAAATTTGTAAAACTCCCTGGATTCCAGTTGAGTTACAGATTTACAATAGTTGAGGGTCTGGCCCTCTAAATCCAAGAGATACCTCTTTCTGGGTTCTAGGTAGATGAGCATAAAAAAAGTCATCTTCTCTAACACTCCAACAAAAGAGCCAGACCCTACACATGGGAAAACACAAGAACTACTCTCGCCATGAACCTCAAGGGCAAAAGTTACACCAAAAGACAAGGGGTATTTAAGCATTATCTCTGCATATGGGGATCTGGAAGGGATAATTCCTTCTGCAGCTCTGCACTGCCCCTAACACAAGGACATATATTATTTATACAATCTGGCCATAAATGCAACAGTAGCAGAGGAGTTACAAAGCCCTGGTCCCTTACATTGGAGGGGCAACTACTTTGAAGTCCCCAGAAGATGCTACTTACCAGATTGGATCACTGATCCATACAGGAAATTTTCAGTGTGGTATTCTTTTAAAAATGTACTATATAAATAAAAAACTGGAAAATGCAGAGATAGGAGAAGGTTAAGTTGTGCATAGTCATAGATTCCTTTACCGTATTCTGTTACCATGGCATCCACAGCAGTGCCCAAAATAGACAAAGCCATTTAATCTTCTTTTCAGATAATCAACATTTTATTTTGTGTGCAACAATCGGAACATGGAACATTAAACCCTTAGATAAAGTGTACTGTTTAATGCAATAAGAAATGCTAACCTATTATGCAAATTGTGGCACAGAAAATGTATTTAAGTGTATTTTTAAAAAGCATACTGTAGT